TAAAATGTCGTGATGCGACGATAGACATCGAATGCCGGCGGCGAGACGTCGGGACATGTCGCGACGCCAACGTCTCGAAATTCTGTAATCGAACGCCTGCCGCTGGTAACGATATCTGAGCCTTAAAACAGTGGTACAAGTCTTGTACTTCTTATTTCCTTATTTTAGAGATAAAAGCACTTAAAAGTACTTAATAAAAAATTCAATTGTTTCGTTGCGGTATCTTCTTGGCGAATACTTTATAGTATTTTAATTGACCTCTGCTTATATTTATCCGCTCAATGAAAATTGCTTAAAAAATCCTAATAGGATTTAAGATCTGTATTCGACGAGAATTAATGCAAAGCGCTTGCGACGACGGGAAATAAATGTGATCGCGTTAGTAGTATCGCGTGTATATAAAATATCTCTGTGAGTTGATAAATTTTGCCATCGGCGCGCACGCCGCGATTAATGAATCATAATTGGTGGCAACGGGGAATCGCGCGAAGTTGGAAGAGAGGAGTTGGATGAAATAAAAGGCGAAAACGCGCGCGGGTGAAAGAGAGAAAGAGAAGGAGGAAGCGGAAGAAGTGAGAAAAGGTGGCGGAATAAAAGGGTGGAGGCCGCAATGAGCTGAGCTTTTCCACGCTTCCCCTAATTACATTTTCATACGAACCGTTTCCCCTTTATTTTCTCCTCCGCCCCACGACTATTTTTCCCAGAGCTAAATCCCCCACCATTCTCCGTCAACGACTGCTACCCTTTTCTTCCGTTTCTTCGCCCTCGTCTGCGTCTTCGTCTCTTTTCCTTTTCCACTCCCCGATGACCCTTCCACCCTCTCGCGCCTTTCTGCGCTGGAAAAACGCTTTAATACATTTTCGCCGCTCGTCGCCGCGCGGAGGAGAGAAAAAAAGGTGAGAGGGAAAACAAGAGAAATATCATCTCGCAGCCTCGAGACGCGTCAATTTCCGCGACGCGCGTACAAGTCCCGCATTAAGGGCGCATTAAGGAGCGCATTCAGCGAGGCGTGGGTTCTGAAGCGATCTGTGAAACGGATTCTGAGTTCTAAAGTCCGAAGCCGAGATTACTATTGCACCAAAGAGACGTACTTGCCCCGGAGTTCGATGTTAGTTTTAAGCCAGTTCCGAAGTCAGTTTCCTCGTCATTTATCGACACTCGTCATTATCGATAATCGCGCGTGCGTTTTCTTCACGTCCAGGTACCTACAACGTTAACGTAAATCACAGTAATTTTCACATCTCGCGTCAATCTTGATTCCAATATATTCCAGCTTCGACACTCTTAGGAAGTTTCTCTGCTCTTGGAGGTACAAAGAGAGAAATATATTACTAATTACTATTAATAATAAGTCAACAGAACCCCGATATACAATCAATTAAAGAGAAGAACGCCTTTACGGTCAGGACTTGGATCTTGGTAGCCTAATAATATTATTTGCGTGAATTTTATGTTTACAATTCTTCGCCCTAGCAAACGCCACGCGCCATTACCAACAGTCTTAAAACGCTGTCTCAACGTTTGTCAGGGCGAAGAATTGCACATAAAATTCACGCGAATAATATTATTAGGCTACCAAGATCCAGTCCTGACTGTAAGGGCGTTCTTCTCTAACTGATTGTGTATTATTATTATTTTTTATTATTTTCTTTTGCTACGACAGGATACCTTCGACCTACCGTTATTCTCGACGATGGGTGACGGACGATTTTTGTCGTCGACGAGCGTGCTCATCCCTTAGTACATCGCTTCTCGTCCCTCCATGTATATCCAGCGCGCGCGACATAATCGCTTTAATACATATCCACTGCGTCCTCGCTTCGAAACATAAAAGCGGTCATCCCCGTAAAAGTTATGGGACAATGCTTACTACGTCTCGCCTTAGATCGAATACACAGGATATTCTACCACATACTTCGTACCATCGAGATACGCTTTAACGTCAGAAGACGCGTAGTGTCTACTAATTATTCTCCGTTAAAATCTTCACATGTCTCTTTTTTTCTTTATTTAAGTGAGATATCTCGGAGAAATCGATTTACGCCACTGATGAGTGTGTACTCACATTTTCTGTGTTGCGCGTTGCAGCTGCTTTGTGTTTAAAGGCTACGAAATTGGAGTTTTACAAATTATACAAGGCAATTGAATTTGCATGAGAATTTTACGAGAGTTTACGCCTCGCAGCGAGAGAATAAATAAACGTCGATGTGCAAATGATATCCCTGCGTATTTGCAATCGGCGAACGCGACGGATTTCGTGTGCAACGAAATAGTCGAGTGCTCGTATGGTCGGATAATCCCATTCCCGTATTCCCGTCCGAGAGTGGACACGCCGCTTTTCCCATCGTAGCCACTCGCTTAACTTTGCGAAAGTCAGCAGCGTATAGGGGGAGACCAGACTAGGAAGAGGAAGAAGAAGAAGCAGTAGACGGCGGGACACGGAAGGGGACGAGGGGACACGGAAAGCCTTCGATTCTTCTTTCGCTCTCGTGCGTTTGTTTACAGAGGACCTCGATAGAAGGTGGCTGGCGCGGAACGAGGGTACAGGACCTCGGCAGTAGAGTAAAGAAGCGGGAGGGGGGAGATCCGGAGCGGAGGGTCCGTAACAGAAAAGTACCTAGGGTAGACGCGCGAGAAGAGCGAGGCGCGGGGACGCGGAGGAAGGAACGAGCCAAAGTGGTGGAGAAGAAGAAGGATGAGGGGGCAAAAAATAAAAAAAGATTCGAGAATTCTCGAGGCGAAGAGTCGAGTGGTTGGGTGGTCGAATAATAGAGCTGCCCTTAATACCGTCATCCCCGCGCTATCCCCGGGTTAAACGAGGGAAGAGGTCGGCGGAAGAAGCAGCGCTGCGAAAGAGAAAGAAAGAGAGAGCGAGAGAGAGTGAGAGGAGTGTGGGTGGCGGTGGTATGGAAGCGAAGGACGAAGCCGGTGAGGAGGGGGTGGAGGGACCCCGCGGGGGGTCAGGATGGTCGCTCGTGGTTCGTGTGCCGCCGCCGCCGCTGTCGGGTGGGAAACAGGAGAACGGAATAGAAGGGATGATAACATTTGTATCATATTTAACGCTAGAACGAGCGGGTTAAGGGGTGGAAGACAACCTCCACCCGCCGGCCACCTTCTTCCTCGTCGTCTCCTTCGGTCTTCTCTCCCGCTCTCTTGGTCACCCTCCGGCTCCCTCGGTCTCCCTCATAACCGCGCTCCTCCGCCGCCACCTCGCACCCCCCTTTACTCCCTCTCCCCCTCCCCCTCGCTCTCTCTCTCTCGCCACTCCGAGTAATATACCACTGAAATCAATACCACCACACTGCCTTCTCTATTTACCCAAGCTCATCATCCGTACACAAATTTATTGCGTGTCCCTAGCAGCTCGAAACATCCCTCCCGAATTGCCAAGGGTATCTGGCGCTGCCAGATTGCGATTTCGTAGTGGCCCGGTTAATGTCGCGCGGCCCATTTAACGCGTTTCTTCTCGGAAATCCGCCGGGCTATCTTTGTTAAAAAGTACTTTCCGATTATCTCGTCCGGATATCTGCTTTCGTGTCCTTTCTGTCGGTCCTCCGAGGGTCGAATCAAACGCGTTCTCATTTTCCCCAGCGCAAGATTTATCTTTTGCCACCAAATAAAACTAAAACACGACCGAACATCTTGGTACAATTCTCAAATATTAGTGATTAAGTCTAAGAGAAGTCTATTTGTCTTGTTTCTTTTACCTAGATGCAACGGTACTCGCTGCAAAAGATATCCAAGGGCAGATTCGGAGATGTGTTTAAGAAAAAAAAGGAAGAAAATACTTATGGGCGTTTTACGTTACTTTTAATTACTCCGAGCTTCTTATTAATCCATGATTTCAATTTTTCTGAAAATCGTGCGGACAACTTTCTGCCGTGCGGCAGCAGTCGAATATAATTTATGCATGCGCTGGGACGTCGGATAAGATCACGTTAGGCGGCCGTTGGCGGTAGTTAGCGGGAGAAATTTTTTAAATACCCGCCAGAGAGGTGAATTACTTAAAACGCTCGCGCGACGCGCACAGGTGGTTTCGTGCGTTCGTATGCGACGCACCCGCACATTGCAATCTCGCGTGGCACCGTCGCACACATAGGTAACATACGTACGGAGATGCACGGTGCATCGATGGGGCGTTATATACGCTCTGCGATAATATTACGTCATTAGGCGGGCAATGCTACTATCGCGTGCCCTGCTTTGAGCTCGTTATGCACCACGTTCTGAGAGGACGGTGGGAGCGGGGAGGGCGCGGGGCCGCCGCTCTTGCGGCCAAGTGAAAGATAACCGATAAGTAGTGTTACGAGATAAATGCCACATAAATTAGCCATACGCGATATACGTGTACGCTACGCCGACGTATAGCACGGACGCAAAATTGCGGGGACGGTAACGGGCTTGTTATAGATATAGCTCGGTATAAGATAAACGTTGTACATAACACGATAGCCCGCAAATTGTTTCGCGAATGATAAAATGTACAGGTATAATTGCGATTAGATAATGCTTTCTTCCTAATTACTCGCACGCCGCGCAACCAAATTGGATTCAAAGTACATAGTCCGAAGTATCCGATCGACAAAATTAAGGAATTAAGAAAACGCGATTCTTTTCGAGTATTTTAATTTTCAATATCAAATCATCTCAGTTAATTTTGTTCGTAATCGTCTTAACTGCGAGTTGAATTACGCATTCACGGGCTCCACGTCGATACACCGTGCGGCAAAGCTTATTGCCTCCAGGCGTTCGCGCCGTTAATTTATTGTTCGAGCACAATCGGAGCATCGCGTGAGCGAGGCACCAAGATTAATAATGCATCTCTCGGAGGGTGCGTCCGCCAGTAGGACGCGCGAGAATATGGGTCGAGTTGCTCGTCTACTTGGATGGGAGGTGCATCAAAAGCTCGTTGATGCACTCGGCTCGGTAGACTGGCCGACTGCTCACGTGGAGCGCGTCTCGTTATCATCATCTAACATGCGTCATTTCGAACTTTTCAGGAGAGCGACGCTGAGAAAAGCGACCAGGACCTGGTTGTCGACGTGGCGAACGAGGTAAGAGACTATCATTAAAAAAAGCGTCGTAAATTTTTTAGACGAATAATTACATACATATATCTGTATACTTTATCTACACGCAATTATAAATTATCTTTTGTAATTATCGTGCAATTTTTAAACTTTACACTTGTTCAATGTGTCAAAGCTTGTGTTAAAATTAACATTGACGGGAGAAACGACGCGAAATCATTTTGATTCCAGCTTCTACTCTTGGAAAGTAAAAAGATTTTTGTATTGAGAAACAAGAGAAGAAAAAAAGTTTCGCGGATGAAAGATATACATTGCCGAGATCTAAAAGACTCGTGCTGTCGCATGCTTAACACTTAAGTACGATATTGCGTGTGTGTGTGTGTTCGCTTAACGAATTCCTGATATTTGCGTATCGCGAAAGGAGGCGTCGTCGCCGCACGCGAACGGGGAGCACTCGGACCCACGTGAAAACGGCACCCTGGAGAAGCTGGGCGCACCGGGCCACGTTGGCGGACCGGTATCCGGCGCGGGCTCGGCATCCGTTAAGGACAGGCCGCCGTCGCGCAGCGGCAGCTCCTCCGCCCGTAGTACACCGTCTCTGAAAAGTAAAGATGTAAGATCTCGCGGAGAGTAAGCTTATTCGGCGCTGCGACCCGGCCCAATCGTGACTCTGTCGCCCATACATATACCGGAATACCCTCTCGCGAACGTAAAAGTCGAGCTTTTTTTACTTACGTGATACTTAGGATCGTCAGACGTTCCTCTTTCCTCTTTTAAATTGTCGTTTTGAACAAAAAAAAAAAGAAGTGTCAAATTTATATACTCGTATATACGCAAGAATCTGTAATCTGAAAATGAGGTATATATATATTGCGTTAAACGAAGAAAACTCGCTTGAATGAAGTTATTTGTATAGTTCAACCAAGAAGAGAAGGTTGAAATAAAAAGTTTTAATTCTTATAAGAAGATTATAGATTCTTGCGTATATATAAGTCTTGACACTTCTTTTCTGTGTGCTCATTTATTTTCAAGCGTAGAGTAGTGACAGAGAGACGAATGATATTATACGTTACAAAACTGTGCGACTGTTAAAATAATCGTGAAAGCATCCTCGGTTGGGCGCAAAGAATTCGTTGTAAGCGCAATTTCTACGCAGCTCTTAACGTCTGACGACTCTAACGATATCGTAACATCTCCGCGACATGCACCGGCGACAACACAGAGCGCATTTTCTTTTTCACTCACTCGATCGATCGTCTTCGAGGCAGCGGCTCTCTGCCGCCGCGTGCGAAACGAAACGGAGGGAATGATATACATATATATATATATATATATATATATATATCCGCGTATTTTCAATCGCGGCTGACAATCGGTCGGCAGCTTAGTACGATTGCGACACAGTGAGCGTCTGCAAAAAAGTGGGTGCAAACACCGTGCGTTCGCCAGGTCGACAAGCCGGGTACACCTGTGGCGGCGGCGAGGGGCTCGCGCAGTTGTACGCCAACTATGGGCGGCATCCCTGGGTCCTTGGCGCGGGTCTATCATCCGCCATCGTCGCAGCAAACGCCACCGCAGGGTTATCAGGGCTTGCCATCCCGCGGCAATGAGCCGCCGCAGTCGCCCTCGCCATACAGCAACTTGCCATACGCGCGGCCCTCCATGGTGATTCATGACCCCGTATAACACCTTAGTCCTTACGTTACCACGCTTTCATTAATTAACTGATATACTTTTATGCGACTGAAAAAAGAAAAAAGAAAAGATAATAATACGAATTGATTTTGGACGCAACCGCTTAATTCATTTCGACCTTAGAGAAGGACTTCTGCAAACGGTATATTGTTCTCCTTGATTGTCTTCCGTAGATACTGTAAACCTCTCTAGATCAAATCCGATGAAATTTAACGGGAGCGAATGATCGGAAAGGTCAAAACTGGCAGAGGTCCTCTTAGGGTTGAAAGCGCGATCAGTCTCGTGCAAGAACTACCGAAATCGACGATGACCGTTTTTTCCTAAGGCCATTTATTTCGCACTTTGTACTAAACGAACGCGTCTTTAATTTTTTTTTTTTCCTCGTCTCTGCGCGTCACGATACTGAGCGCGACCGTCTCTTCCGCAGATCGGTTTCGACGGTCACATGAGGATACCCGCGAGTAACGGACTGAACAACATCGCAGGTGGCAAACCGTACGTAATTACAGTTTATGCGAAGTCGTCTAAGATCTTTCTAAAAGCCGTTCTCATCTACATTGCGATAAGAACGCGTTAAACACTCGTGTTTATTTCGCGCAGGGCGTACTCCTACCATATGAACGGCGAGGGCCAGCTGCAGCCCGTACCATTCCCCACGGACGCTCTGGTAGGACCGGGTATCCCGCGTCACGCACGTCAGATTAACACCCTGACGCACGGCGAGGTGGTCTGCGCCGTTACGATCTCGAATCCGACCAAGTACGTCTACACCGGCGGCAAGGGTTGCGTCAAGGTCTGGGACATCGGCCAAAGTGTCGGCAGCGCCAGCGTGAAACCAGTTTCGCAGCTGGACTGTTTGCAACGTGACAATTACATTAGGTAAGAGCGATTTCAACTCCGCGCTATTACGTCCAAACGACTCGTTGGACCCTGGATATTCTCGCGACGAGGCTCGCGTGCGCGATTTGATCTGATAAAATAGGTAGCGAATAAAGTCATGTTTCTTCTGGTAGTGACCGAAGTAATTTTATTTAAAGGAAAAAAGACGAGACCGTTGTTGGAAGTTATTGCATACCCAAGTAGCACATGTTGGTTTTTTTATGGTTTCCTAAGCAGTTATAAAACATCAGATACGTTTAGGAGAAACATATGTAAGACATGTATGGATCCTCGCGTGCTACCTGGGTAGGTTATATTAATTAGAAATAAGTTTTTTAACCGCAAAGCTAAATTAAGCGGGAGACGTTCGGCGAAATTGACATCTTCGACCTTTCCAGGTCCGTGAAGCTTCTGCCTGACGGGAGGACCCTGATAGTCGGCGGGGAGGCCAGTCAACTGAGCATCTGGGACCTAGCGAGTCCCACGCCCAGAATTAAAGCGGAGTTGACCTCGTCGGCGCCCGCGTGCTACGCCCTGGCGATTTCGCCGGACTCGAAGGTCTGCTTCAGTTGCTGCAGCGACGGCAATATCGCCGTGTGGGACCTGCAGAATCAGACGTTGGTCAGGCAGTTCCAGGGTCACACGGACGGCGCGTCCTGCATCGACATCTCCGCCGACGGGTCGAAACTCTGGACCGGCGGCCTCGACAACACCGTGCGCTCCTGGGACCTCCGCGAGGGCCGGCAGCTGCAGCAGCACGATTTCACCTCGCAGATATTCTCCCTCGGTTACTGCCCCACCGGCGAGTGGCTGGCCGTCGGGATGGAGAACTCGAACGTCGAGGTGCTCCACGCCACCAAGTCCGACAAGTACCAGCTGCATCTGCACGACTCCTGCGTGCTCTCGCTGCGTTTCGCCTCCTGCGGCAAGTGGTTCGTCTCGACCGGCAAGGACAATCTGCTGAACGCGTGGCGTACGCCGTACGGTGCTTCAATATTTCAGGCAAGTAAAAAAAAGAAACGTGTACTGATTAACGGGATAATTTATATTCTCTGCATGTCTGGATTCTCATCTTTATTTAACCTGAGTCGCATTCTAAAACTTAGCGTTCACGAAACATGCATATGTACAGAATATAATATTCACTTTCTTTTGAGTCAAACTACTTTTTTTCTTCTCGTTTATTTTTTTCTTTTTTTTTCTTCTGGATTCCGAATTTTTTTAATTCGATTAAAAGTAAACAGATTCTTAAAAGAGATTCCTCCCTTTTTTTCGAAACGGCTAAACAGTTTAATTGAATAGCGTTCTCGTATTGATAAGTTTTCTAATATTTTGTTGAATTTTACAGTCCAAGGAGTCGTCGTCGGTGCTGAGCTGCGACATTTCCGCGGACGACAAGTACATTGTGACCGGATCCGGCGACAAGAAGGCCACTGTATACGAAGTGATTTACTAAGCCTATTCCTAATAAAAGAAAGAGACTTGCCTTTCCTCCTTTAACAATGTTAAAATAATGAACTTCGTTAATGTGTATTCTACATCCTCTCGCGAGAGAGGAAGGCGCGAGGAGCTGCCGCGAAGTGGGGAAAACTCTCGGCGGCCTTAGAGCCCGTGTGACTGATAAATGTGTACATATACGCGAATCTGTATTGTAACGGAATTACAAATAGAGGAGTGAAAAATCGATATGTGTGCGCGCGTGTTCATGAATGAGCGGGATCAGCGATGTATATTAATCACGCACGTGCGCGTCCCGATTTCGCGAGTGCGCGTCCCGATTCTCCGCCAATTACGCGGTATATACCTGCGCGCGGACTTCTTGTTTGTCGCCGGTATACAACGAGCGTATACGCGTTGACGATGGAACGGCGTTCCATCCAACCGGAGCGATTCGCATACGCACTAAAGTAAACGAGAAGAGCCTTCGCAAACGGTGATGTTAGATATACAGGGTGATTCTTGATTGCACGCCGGTACCTCCAGGAAACAAGTTTAGAATTCAGAACAGGGAATTTATTTATCTTCTAAATTGTAATAAATTTTTTTAAATATAATTTTTAACGCTAAAAAGATATTTATGTAATACACGCTAAATTCTTATGACGACTCGATGTTTATTATCTACATATTACGATTTTGTGCATATTAAATGTTTGGACACAGCTATGTCTAGACATTTTCATTATTTTAGTCCTTAAATAAGTTATAACGCGAATTAAAATCAAAGAATCAAAGATAAAAATATTTTTCTTGTATTATATTTTTATCTTTGATTTGAATTAGTGTTATACTTATTTAAAACTTAAAGTGATAAAGGTGTCCCCAGACATAGGTCTTAAGTGTCCCGGCGTTGGTACATTTACCTTACGGTTTTGAAAAATACCGTAGCACGTGAAGCGGAAGGCGGACACTTTTCGAGCACTTTCACTAATGCGTACATCTTTTTTATTATTTTGGACCTTAGATCTCTAATGTATCAACGAACAATTAAGATTCACCTTATATATGATCTTGTAGTTACGTAAATGTAGGATTATAACGCGCCTAAAATGGACGGCCGATAAAGTGGTAAGGCATCAACTTGGTAGATCCGGCCTACTCACCGAAAAATCGCATTACGCTTTTTAGTAAACAAATATGTGATCGTCGAGACATCATTTCGAATTTCTGTAACCGCTGTATCTTCAAACGAATTGTATATTTCCTTCCTATTACCCTGCTGAACGTATAAAGATACGGAGAAGTCTAAGAGATGTTTAAGTAGCATTAAAAAAATGCAAGGCGTCTTCTGTGCGTTTTTTTAAAGGCTTGATTGGCACCAACTTTCATTATTGAAGTATACGTTATTGACCTAAAGCTATGAATGATCGCGCAGATCGTTAGATTCGTGACTCTGTTCCGGTAATCTTTACTTTCGACGAAGAAAAATTACGCTATATCCAGCAGTAATTTGTCGTGCAACGCTGAGCGAGACACGGATGGCACATCGGACTTCGAGCCGTCTCCTGATCCTGTCGGTGTCAGTATCAATGTCACGATCGCCCGTCGCTGTTTGAAATAGCTCGTGGCATAAAAAACTAGTTTATGAACGAATACCTTTTTTGCATCGTAAATATAGTGCGATACCTACGTGTAATAATCGAATTTCTACGTGATATAGCGCGTATGCGTGGCGACGAATGGCAAATAATGACGAATCCCTGTACAGAATCCTTGTACATATTCGACGATTGTGATTAACGATTATAACGAGACGCACGGTGTACGTCGCTGTACGGCGTACACCCGGACTCTTTAAATATACCTAATGTAAAGTACAATCCCCCGTGCACACAATCGAAACAAAACTATTTCTCTACTTTAATTAGGGTGACACTCGACACGCGGAGATCAATAGAAACGGAGCAGCTTCGTCGCGACGTTTAATATTAGTTAAATATCGACTAATTATCCTTTAATAAATCGACGTTGCGCAGAACTGAAATCACGATGTCTTTATGTTAAAGAAAAAAAAACTGATTAATCTATGATAATTGAGACGTTTAGTCCGATTGTAAAATATAATAAAAAGCAATTTCGTAAAATTTCTGCTTTCGATTGATCTTCGCCCAAAAATTAGCCGAATGAAATTCTCGACAGGCAGACGAGCGCGAATTGCAATGCACATTACCGAGATGAATAAATTCGTGAAATTACACGGCCCTTTTTTGTGTTCTTGACGTACATTAAGACCGAATGAAACTTTGAGAAGAAAGAAGATGGTTATATGATGTACTTTATTTGAGCTTGGTCGAGAATGAAAATGATTCTCGCGGTTCTCGTCTCGCTGGCGAATACAATGACGAATTGAAAGGTTTTGATTAATGCATCACATGTAGAGAAAAGATATGTCATGTAACTAACGATGACGTATCCGCAAATTTCTTGAGGAAATAAATAAGGATCTATTCCATTTTTCCCCGTCGCATTTTTAGCAATAATAATATGTGACAAATTTTAATACTATGATTTTCTTTATTGTCTCGCATCGAGTTGGATTTTCCCCAATTTTTATCTCTCTCTTTCTCTCTCAGTGTGTGACAAAAGAAAATAAAATCGTTTTCGCAATGAATTTTACGCGCCTTCTTGGAACGTACCGTCGGAATTCGCATGACGAATCCGGTCACTCTGCACAATAGGATACAACGCAAGCGGCAATTATACCCGAGTTAGGGGTCATCGCGAGTGAAATATTGTTCATTGGCAAACAGAGATCGCCACGTTTATCTGTTTGATAAAATAAGCGTTATAGCTCGCGAAATAGCAATTACAATTAAAACGGGGCAAAGAGAGAAAGTATATATTAGCACTACCGCTATTGCAGCGAGATAATTTATTATTAATAACGATGCCTATGTATATATCTTAAAGGAGATGGAGGAGAATCGAGAGAAGGAGAAAGTGTAAGTACAAGATATCACAAGTTTGCTTCCGATAATTTTCGATGTATTTACATTTTACGTGTAATCCGTGTGTACAAGATCGTTAAAAACATTAAATGTTTATACTCGCGTTATGATAATCTATCCATGTATTTACATGTTCTTCCGTGTGTACAAGATCGTTAAAAACATTAATTGTTTACAGGCTTGCTTTCCTTTCTTTTTATTTTCTCGCAGACTACCGCATGCCCCATATTCCGCGCTCTCTCTCTCTCTCTTTCTCTCGGATTAATTTTCTTTTTTTAAATATTCTTTGTCGTATCGCCGTTGCTTATATATACAAGTAGAAAAATTCTAGTAACGTCATTATCGTTACGCGCCAGGGATTATGTGCATCCATCCTTCATACAAATCGTTCGTATGAATTTAGATACGCTTCGAGTTTTTCTCTTTTTTTTTATCCGATCAGCGATACAATCTCATACTTTCGAGATAAAATCAAGATCGAGAGTGTGGAGGCATAAAGGGTGCTGAAAACTATATATATATATATATATATATATATCTCGCGTATAGATGTTTTGCAAGTTCGCTGATCGCATCACATACACTATAATGTCTCATACATGCATACATACACATATTCTCATCACGTTTTATATATATCTCACATATGTGTGTATAAATATATACACAATCAGAAGATGCATAATGCAATCAACTTTTGGATTAATTGATTTTACAGGAAATGTACATTATAAGTAAATGATACTCTCCGCACTTCGTTTTCGAGACTTAGGTTTACAAGGATGCTCTCTTTCTTTCCTTCTTTTTTCCTCTCGTGGAAGGTACTGTAGTTTCAGATTTTTTAACATTTCAGAGAAACACGTGTGTCTCGCATGCAGTATGATAATGAAACGGCAAACGATTCAGTATGGAAAATTATTCGAATATTTTTAAGAGAATTGAATACTTGTACAGTGATGAGACCGTCTTGCCGTGTCTGCATTCGATCGTTATCATCGCGAATCAATTTCATCTTATATATCTATCTACAAATATAAGGATGTAAAAAGATATACAAAAGTAAAATACAAATCATATTACGTCACAATTTATAATCGTAAATTTTTAAATTATTCTAGTAAAATTTGAAACAAAAAAGAAAGAATTTATTTAAAGCTAACATTGAATCGCTCTGATTATTTTAAAGTTAACAACCTTCCGTCATGCAGCACATTATAAAAAGTATCCCTGCGTCTCTTGAGAATAATTGTGCTCATTAAGCGCAATTGAGAAACTGAATACATTTGGTCGTAAAACTGTACGCTTCTCACCGGAATGCAACATACGCGTATTACGTCTCGACGTTCCGGCAGAAGGTCCTTAATTCTAGAAAAGGAAAAGCTAATAACTCATTCGAATTGCGTTCGGAGTTACGGCAACGAATACGTCCAATCGCGGTAATTACTTTGACCAAAAGTTTCATAAAGATAAGGAAAATGTAACCGTATATTTAGACAATAGATAAAAATCCGTTATAATAATATTTAAAAAGAAGTAAAGTGCAAAAGGGATATATTACGTTACTATACCCCTTGCAATGTTGCCAGATTCTGTTTTTTCGGTTTCATGTAAAATTCTTCACTTGTGAAGAAAACAATCATATTAAGGCTTCCATTTCTTCTTCACAGCCATATAAATTGTAATGTCAGAAGCAAGAAACTTGAATGTAAATCCTTTTATTATAATGTATATGTCTACATATTTCTTATGTACATATGGAGGGGTAAAAACCATAGTGGTGTAAGTCAGACTTTTTAAAATATTTTCTCATGTGCATAGATGCAATCTGTACAATATATAAATTGCATCTATCCACA